TGCATGAGGAATTTCAAAAATGCTGTAAGCACCAGTATCATCATTGACTCAATTATATATTTTCAATCATTCTCCCAAAGGTTGGTACAACTCTAAGTGTTTGAATTATTTTATAACATCCGATGTACAAATTTCACCTAAAGAACAAGGAGCTTTCTACATTAGAACAAACTTCCGAGAAAGTATCATGAGATGGGACAAAAAGCAGAAATACAAAAATGCAAAGACAGGAGGACAGAAATGATATGAAGTTTAAAATACAAGGGAGTGAAAGAGATTGGAATTGAAATGATAACCTACTGTAAGTAATGTGAAAGCATAACAGTAGGGGACTGGAATAATCAGATATGGAACAATTGACAATAGACTGGTTTCAAACGGAAGCACCGCAAAAAGACCTTAAGAGCAGAACAATTACACTTCTCTTTGGAAATAAAATTTAAAGAAAGAAAAGTTTGAAAACATAAAAAGCCCGATGTTTATGCTGATCAAATGGCAAGGATTGGATTTAAAAGTTGGAATTGTAAAGAAGGTACAGGTTGAGAAAAACAGCTGAATACAAAAGGTGGAAAAAATGATTGCAAGTATGCAAAGCAAGATCTTTCTTGCCTGGAATAGGAATAGAAGAGGAATTGTTTGAATCCACATCTTTTCAGTTTATTTTCCATCTTTCTTTTCTCACATATTTTATCAACTCCCAGTTTCTTCTGTAGGAAACATGCATACACAGGTTGAAGCTAAAATAAAATAGAATGTTAAATATTCTATATGGCACTGAGTGATACAGATTAACATGGCAATAGGAACACCTTCAGAAAAGAGTTCACTATTGTTTTCTGGATCAATGCCCTGGGAGTTAAGAAAATAGTGATCAAACCACTGTGTGCTAAAACGAACTCTGGAATAATGTTTCACCAACTCTCTTCTGTCTTTGGTGAATGAATAATATATCTATGATAGATTGTTTTACCTCACATACTGTTTTAGTTTACAGAATATCTAAGGAACATCAAAGCCAAGTAAAAGGTGAAAGTGTAACAAGGATTTGTCATTTGGCTAACGGACAAGATGGGCCAGAGTAGTGGTGGATGGAACTTTTGTGCAGCAACAAGCAATGGTGATTCTCCGACGCCTCATTTCTTGCTGGGGCTTGCTGCCTGACAGCCAGGGTTTTTAAAAAGGTTTTTGCAGCAGGAAACAGCGCATGGATACTTCTGGCCTTTGTGGTGCAGCTGGGCACACGACCTCGCCCCGAGACACTGGCCTTCGGTCTTTTTTAACATGATAAGCCTGCAGCTGCCGCTTTTTGGTGGTGCGAAGTATTTGCAGCAGCTGGCCGAAACCAAGCTGGGAACGGCAGCTGGAGGATTCTTGCACTGGCAAAGATTGGCAGCTGGAGGGTTCTCACCCTGGCAAAGAAGTGACAGCTGCAGGATTCTCACCCCGGCAAAGAGGTGGCGGCTGCAGGATTCTCACCCTGGCAAAGAGGTGGCGGCTGTAAGCTTCTTGGTGGGGGGGGGGGGGACGACACGGCGAGGCTTAGCTGCCTTTCAGACCCTGCTCTGGGCTTCTGCCTGCTCGACCTCCGCTCTGCCTCTTGTCTTGCATCCAGCCTGCAAGAAGGAGACATGCCATTTCCAGGCCAACACGGCCAGCAGCTGGGCAAGTGGGCGGCCTTCAGGGGAGGCATTTTCTCTCAGTCCTCACACCCGGAAGGCCCTGCAGCAGAGGTGGTATTCAACAGGTTCTGACTAGTTCTGGAGAACCAGTAGCGGAAATTTTGAGTTCAGAGAATCGGCAAATACCACCTATGACTGGAAATTTTACAGTATCCTTCCCCTGCCACGCCCACAGAACCGATAGTAAAAAAAATTGAATCCCACTACTGCCCTGCGGAAGCCGAAGCTGGCCCCAAAAGGCGGCTGAGCCTCATCATGTGTTTCCCCCTCCACCAAGGTGGTCCTTTGGCTGAGTGCAGCAAGCCCAGAGCAGATCTTCCTTCCCTGCTGTCAGCTCATGGGGCTTGTTCTCACAGCAGTGGCCTGGCATGCGGGCGGAATCTCCGGGGAAGGCCAGATCCAAGACTGGCGCATTCCCCAACCCGAGGCAAAGGGTGAGTGGGTAGCATGTGGGCGGAGGCCCTGGGGAAGGCCAGAGCTAGGGACTGGCATGTCCCCTGACCTGAGGCAGAAGGCGACATACAGGCAGAGGCCCCAGGGAAGGCCAGAGCCAGGGACTGGTGCATCCCTCGACTTGAGGCGAAGGGCAAGTGGGTGGTATGTGGGTGGAAGGATGGTGAGAGCCAGACCCAAAAGGCTGCCGAGCCTCACGATGTCTACCCCGAAGTGGCCCTTTGGCCAAGCGCCTTACCTTTGCGGGCAGCGGCGGTGAGAAGAGCGGGCGAGGCACGGAGATCAGCTAGGCCACATGGTCTGGATGAGTGAGCGAAGGAACCAGAGAGTAGCTGGGCCCAGGTGTGACTTTAGCCACCAGCCAAGGCAGGCGAGGCAAGATAGGGTGGGGCAGGGTGGGCGAGGCCAGTCAGTGGTGGGATTTGCCGGTTCACTGAACTGCACAAAATCTTAACAACCAGTACTCCCAAACTGGCAGCAGCCCACCTCTGCTTCTCTCCCTATCATACTGAATGCTTAGTTTACTTGGTTCTTTCTGTATAGTAGTTTATTTCTAGAATGGAAATTAATGGCATAATGTACAGCAGGATTTAGATGTAAACATACTCTCAAATTCTGTAATATGGAAAAAGTTTTCTGTATAACATACAGAACTGTGTATTGCACAGGGCATATATGGTAGCAACAGCAATAGCACTCAGACTTATATACCACTTCACAGTGCTTTACGGCCTTCTCTAAGTGGTTTACAGAGTCAGCATATTGCTCCCAACAAATGTGGTCCACATTTTATCGACCTCAGAAGGATGGAAGGCTGAGTCAACCTTGAGCCAGCGAGAATTGAACTGCCAAATTGCTGCCAGTAGTCAACAGAAGTAGCCTGCAGTAGTGCATTCTAATCACTTTGTACATACTTATGCTTACTGAATATTATACAGAAAAAAATGAAAATATAAATAGTTGTGCTTCATTATAAGTGAATTAACTAAGCAAATGATTTCAGTCCTGTTTGCTCATTACCTTTTTATTTTCTTGATATTTTAGGAAGAAAGAGAACATTAATACACTCAGAGAATTACTAAAAGTAAAAGGCTTCAAGCTACTGAATGCATGGTTGATTGTACAAATCACAAAATATAACAACTTTGCTCTGGTGGCTCACGTAACCTGTTTCATAGCACTGTCATTCTCAAGAGCTTGTAGTCATGTTTTTTCTACTTCAAATTTTATTACTTCCTTGGTATTATTAACTATATCTAAAGATGCTCCCAAAACATAAATTCTTCCATGGAGAGGAGGGGAATTAGTGGTTTGGAAGTCAATAAAGCATATTAACATTCTCCGTCATTCTTTGTGCACCCTAATTTTATTTATTTGTACAAGATGATACAATATATGGTAATGAATGAGATAGATCACCTTAAAAGTGTAAAATATATATGTTAATGTATTTACTTATATAAGAAGGCAAATCAGGAAACAAAATATAAAACTTAAAATCTATAAAGGCAAATGAAACGATACACTTTGAAAATATAGAGAATATAGCGGCTTGCAATTATTATTTCAGCATTGCAGATATAATAATTGTTGAACATAGTATGCTAAAGATAAAAATAATAATAAAAAGAATTGGAGTATATTTTAAATATAATATTATTATTGGTTAACTATGAACATAATTGCATATTTAAAAATAAATAATCCTATAGCAAACGTATATCTATGTCTGCTTAGATGTGATAGCACTAATTAATATATAAATTATCAGGAAATCAATATCCCCAAGGTATGTGTTTTGCTATTTACTAAATAGGATACTGCTACATTTGACACTGGTGATTAAGGAAAGACATTTCTTAGGGTTTAATACACATTCCTGAAATCCATGATACATCAATTTTTAATAGTAGCACTCTCTGAGTTCCATTAAAAAGATGGTGGAGAAAGATTTTAGAGTAATTAATGATATAGTTAGCTCCTAAATATTAATAGGAATTGTAATCTTGCATAAAATTTAACATACAAACCTTGCCAATACTGACGCACCAGTAATTAAAGTTGAATATGTAATTACAGTGATTTACTGATTTATAAGGAGGCAAATGACTTATATTTTATTAGTTTCTATGTAAACTTGAGGTAATGGTTGAACTTTGCATTGTATTTTTTTTTAACAAAATAGTATTTCTGTAACAGTCCATACATGTACTACAGACCTGAAAATGCAATTAAAGTATTTCTGATTTGAATTCTTTTGCTAATTTACAAATTTAAAAATGTTTGAAAAAAAATCAAGTTGTATTATCATGCAATGAATAAGAAGCATTTGCCCAAGGGAAATCTTAAGCATGCATTGCAGCACCAATTCCAGTATTTCCCAAACCTTTCATTACATAAAACTGCTTATCAGAAAACTTATTGAAGTTTGAGTAATTATTTTCTTCAGCACTGTTGTAACTTCAAATGGTTGCTGAAGGAATGGTTGTAACTTGAGGATTATATGTATCATAATATCAGTATCGCTGAATGAAATTTATGTCACTTCAACATATTACCATTGGTAATTTCAGCTTGTTTTCATCTTAAAAGGAATACCTTGGGAGATTTTCAAACGTATTTTATAGGTGGCAATCTTTAAGTCAATTCAAATGTCTTTGTTGTGCTTGTAAAGGGTTCGTGTGTAATTATGCAAAGAAAAAACACTTTTACCCAATTTGGGGGTAATTTAATGAGCTTTGGGAAGCACTGGTTTATTTCCTAGGCCAGTTTCCAGACATTCTTACCTGTTCTGGACAAATTATTAAGCAAGGCAGTACTTTTTGATTATTATTTTTTTCTATATTGGAAGATGCTAGCAGTACTTACATGTGAGGCTGTGGAGAACAGCCTGGACTGCTATTTCCATTGCTGTCAATGTGCTCCAAGGAACCATTGAGGTCTTCATGGACTGCTTGAAGTAAGCCACTGGATGTGTTGTTTATTAATCCGGGATTACCAAGTAAAGGTAAACTACTTTCTGCCAGTGCAGCCTAGCAGTGTGGAAATGATATAGCATTCTTAGGGTGCTTAATACATACTGAGATACATACAAGTAAACAAATGTATAGAGAAAAAATTGTTCTATTTCTTTTCTGAAGCTCAGAATACGCACACAAACTTAGTACTGCTAGATGGAACTACTAAGTATGTTCTGACACTGATATGCACCATGTCTTCTGCCTTTAAACCCTGCCTTTAAAATGCACTAATCTTAAATCTTATGTCCTAACATGTAGCGTACATTTTGTTTCTGGTGCCAGCCTGTATAAAAGTAAAAAAATGACCAGAACTTAACCCCCCCAAAAAAGAGTTCTGACATTCGCCTTTTCTGCATGAAAATTATATTTTACAATTAAACTTTAAAATTTTTGCTATGAGCACCATGTTCTCTAACACTATGATATGAAATCATTCTTGACAGCCTGGATAAATATTAATGCATATTCACATGCATTTGCAAAAGCTTCTATCAATCTAGTATTTGAAATAAAATGGAATGTTCCAGATTTTGCCACAGGGTGTCCTTCTTGCTTCTTTACATCAAAATGAAGAGAATTAGAACAGGTACTTCTTGCTGTGCTAGGTAATGCAACTTCTTTGGGAGATTAACCACCTATTAATAAAGCCCTAAATGCCCAACTAACATTAACATAGAGAGTTATCTTTTATACAAGAAACAATGCAAGCAGAAGGAAGTGGGCATATAAAAAGAAATGAATGGTTTAATGATTTACCTGTAAGCTTGCATTAAGTGCTGCTCCGTAGCCTAAACTGGTAGGTATGTTTTTCACTAATGGTGGGCTTCTGAAAATAAACAATTTTTCAAAGAGAAATTTATTCATTAAACAAAGGACATCAAAGAGGAAAAGAAGCCAGGATTGATTGAATTTCAACTAATCAGCAGTAATTGATCAATATTAAGGTATTAAGTGATCCATTGCCATTGGACTTACAGGGTACTCCTATAGACAAGTCCATTGAAACAAAAGATGTTGTGAACTGTGCATAGATTCTCCATGGCTGAACAGAATTAACGTGAACTCATTTATGTTAGTTTAGGTCCCATCTTTTCCCATTAAGTCAAGTATCATTTATACCACTTTATCCTCTGATTCATCTACAAATAAACTAAAACATGCGCACTGAAATCTTCTTTTTACGAATCTGCCTTGTGAAGGAAATTGGGCGGAAAGTAATTGGCCCCAAGTTATTCAGTGGGTTTCTGTGGCTGATAGTGGAGCTTCCTTTTTCGCAATCAATGCCTTAACCACCACTCTATTTCTCTCATAGAGGCAAACATTGATAATAGTTTCACTTGGCTAAAAATGTCTGACTGTAGTTATCATGCATGACTGATCTCTCTCTCTCTCTCTCTCTCTCTCTCTCTCTCTCTCTCTCTCTGTGTGTGTGTGTGTGTGTCTTCTACATTTTTGTCACAGACTTTAAGAATTCACTCCCAGAACTTTCCTACATTTATCCTTTCCTTTTCCTTCTTTCCTCTTACAGTATTTCAACAGCAGACTGTGCGATTAACCAATGTGAGATTCCATTTTAAAATAAAATGCTTCCCCCCCCCCCCCATTCTTGTCCATATGGAATGGCCACATCTTTTTTTTTTTTTACAGATGAAGTTAGAATGTTCTAGCATGTTGAAAAAGAGGTTGGCTTTTGTCACAAAAATGAATTCATTAAATGGTGTGTCAAAGGAAAAAAATATTTCCCCCCTCAATGGAATAGCTTTTCTGCATGCATACACATGCAGTCTATAGATTGTAATTTAATTCTATATCAAATGAATGTACATTAACATTTGTTCTTACATTTAAGATGAAAAAAAACAGTGACATTCTGTAAGATCTTTCTATAAATATTGCCCACAGAAAGAAGGTAATTTTGTGGTTTAATAACTTATGGTTTAAAATAAACATTTTAACTTTTTGCTTATTAGAATTAGTCTCTGCCTCTCTCATCTCATGGTGATTCTGGGCGACTTACACCATTAAAAGCAATAAAACTGTAAAAAATAAATATTTCTAAGAAAAAAAAAATAGAATTACACTCCAGAGTAACATTACAATTAAAAGATGGCGAGGTGGAATTTTCTCTTAATCCATCAAACAACCTCCAGTGCGATGCTCCTCTGTTGGGCCCCAAGCCAATCAAAAGAACCAAGTCTTCTTGAATGACTTCTGACTTTGGTCAAATGTTTAGTGTAAAAAGAAGCCACTATCAAAGAGCTAACACATGGAGAATACATGTCTTGTGAGGCAATTTTAATATAGAGAAAATAAATTTCTAATGGATTTAAATACTAAAACTATGAAAA